AAAGGAATATATTAATTAGTTAATGATTTGAAATTATTTCAAATAATAATTAAAATTTTAATTATTAAATTCTTTTTCCTTTTTTACGAATTGTTATGGTAAAATGTAAATATTACCTGACAAATACCATTCACACAAATTGATTTATTATATCCTTCAATAAAACATGCTGTACCATCGGTCATCTTTTCTAATTCCTTTTCTTCACCACTTTTTAATGAACGACACATCACAATACACTTTAATCATAAAACAAATTTAAATTTAAAAAAAAAACAAAGAACAAAGGTCGAATTTTAATACTAATTGTTGAAATAATGAAGAAAAAAAAGGAACATTCATTCCTATTTTCATTTTCTTTTTTTTTCACAATTAAAATTTTAAATATTTAATTAAAACATATGTATTTATCAAAATTTTCGTCCTTCTATTTGGTAATTTTGTTAAAATTATTATCATTTGAATGTGACTAATTAAATATGAATACTTGTTTACCTGTTGACTACTTTCAACTGGAATCCATTTTTCTAATATCAATTCAGGACTATTATCATTATTTGATAAGATATCCAATTTTGAGCAACGTATTTCATTTGTATCAATTGATGTTATATTGCTACATTGCTGAAATAAATATTTAATCGAATTTTATCGATTTCTCGGATCATTCTTCTGTTTTACGAATTTAATTTCATATTAACTTATTTGTTATCAAATTTCATTACAATATAATCACTTAAATAAAGTTAAACTATACAAAATATGCATTTTCTGCCAGTTGCAATATTAAACTAATAATGCTTCTGTCTAATAATATAAGAAACAAAAAAAAGAAAACTGACCACCAATATAAAAAAAACCACTGGTCATTTTTTCTTTTTTAAATCTTTCTAATGGGAATAATTTATAGTTTTAAAAGTGATAATTTGTTGTGTTAACAATAATTATTTATAGTGATAATTTATTTTTGAAAAGGTGAAATTAAAAAAAAAAGAAATATTGAAATTACTATTTTTGGATTTGTTCTTTTTTATAAATAAAAAAAAAAGAAAGAATGAAATTAACAAACTTGCATATTACAAACACGTTGACGATGATTTGGTCCAACACATCGTACATCCAAACAACGTCTCAATTGACTTGATATTCCATCACCGCACTCAAAAGAATAAATAAATAAATAAAATTTTTGCATTTTTGAAAATTTGAAAAAAATTTAAATTTCCATTTATTTAATTTCTTAAAAATATATTATGAAATATGCTTTTACCTATTCTATAATAAATTTTTTGGTAAAGTTAAATCAGTATTTTGATTTACTCGAATAATGAAATTTCATTTTGATTTAGAGGAAAATAAGTTGTCACTTTAATTAACTGGATAAATTGGTTAATTAATTTAATGGCTTTGAAAGAAAAAAAAAGGGAAGAATTGAACAAACCAAGTTAGAACATGGCCCCCATTCAGACCATTTGGCCCAACCTTGATGAATTATTCGTTCCAAGTTTGAATCATCATTGATGCAATAATTGAACTTAAGTTTTTTACTTTACTAATTTATATTTTACTTAAAATTTAATTTTTTTTAAGATGAAAAAAAGGAAAAACTTTTTATCACTAAAGCTTTGAAAGGAAAATTTGTGAAAATTGATAATCAAATTTAAACTGCAAATGAATAATCATAATTGATTTGTTAATGAAAAGATATTGTAATTCGAATGAATCTAAAAATGTCACCTTCATTTCAATTATTTTTAAAATTGTTATAGTGAAATTATAACTAATTCTCAAGGAAAAAATTTCTTTACTTTGTGAGACATGTTAATATTTTGAGTTTTGAGCAAGGTTAATTACTTCAATCAAATTTGGATTCATATACTTTTATCAATAAAAGCTTATTAATATATTACGTTTTATCAAATAAAAGTATCAACATTAATTATCAGTATCAATAATTTTTTATCAATAATTCATATGTTTTTATCAGCAAAAGATTTTATCTGATAAGATGGAAAATACTTCTGATATAATATAAAAGAAAAAATGAAACGAATTTGTTTTATGAATATCATTTCATTGTATCAAATTTTTTTAAAATTGTTCGTAATTTTCATACTTTTTCAACTTTTTTTATTTCTTACATCACAATGTTAATTTTTTAAATTCATTTATTTCCTCAAAAATTTTCTTATAACGAATTTAATTTAATTTAATTTACTAATTTCTCAAATTCCTAAATTGAAATTTTTTTTGACAAAATAAAAAAAACTGAAAGCGAAAAGACAAAAATGAAATTTCATCAAATAATTTCGTTATTGTTTTTTCTTATTTTCTCTTTTTTTATTTTTCAAATATTATTTGGGTGTGAAAGCATTTATCATTGATATCATTTTTTTTTTGAAAATTTATAAAAGCGAATAAAAATCTGAAAAAAGATTTCACATTTTAAATTTAATAATGAAAAGAAAAACATTTTATATAAGGATGAAAAGACAATTTTCATTCCTAAAATTTTGTTTACTTTGACAAACTTTCCATCTCTTTTCCTTTTTTTTAAAAAAAAGAAAAAACAAAATAAAGATTAAAATGATTGATGGAAAAGGAATAAAAAATAAAATAAGCATTTATATACAAATATCGATATAACCAATCTTTTGCACGCTATATCATCAGTTATCGATAATAATTAATTTTTCTTGATTTTTTTTCTCCTTCTCTTTCTCTTTCTCTCCCTCTCTCTTCCTTTTGGGAAGGTAAAAAAGAAGGAGGAAGGAGATTTTATTGAAATTTTACAAAAAAAAACCAAAATTTAGCAAATGCTTTAATTAAAGGAAAATAA